AGTTGATCCAACTCCTTTCTCTCTTCACATCGCAGCCTGACACATTTATGGGAGGCTGGATTTTTTTTTAGATCCACTGGTGCCGCTGCTCCGATCCCCCCCCCCATCATTTCCAAACACGAGGGCCACCTTGATAAATTATGTTATTTCTGAACTCTGCACTAACATATCAGGGCTCAAATACTTTCAGAACATTATGCAAATGAGCAAAAGGTTTAATTAGGTTATTTTATTGTTATTTCCCCCCCCCTTCCCCAGTAATGAATTGCGATATCAAACTATCTCTTTTTTACTATAAAAGCTGCCCAAGGAGCATAATAGAGATAGAATTCTTTATTGGCCAAGCGTGATTGGACACCCAAGGGATTTGGGGGTGATTGAATCTGAACTGTGCCACTGGGAATCTCGGGGTCACTCCAAGCATAAACCTCTGGTTTATTAGAGGTTTGTTTTGTTCCTTTGGTATCGCTCCAACAGAACGCAAGTTAGAATCAGAGCTTGTGACAAGCGTATCAGAGCTAATTCTTCTTGAGGAATATTTCATCTATGCTGGCTATGTTTCTTTCTCCTCTTGTTGATTAGGATGTTGAAGCAGACCACAGCGGTTATGTGAACGATCTGGGATTCCGTGTAAGTCTCTTTATTGAGATAAAGCTTACTTAGGTCGATCATTAGAGTTTAAAGCTGACCTTGGTCAAATTGCAAATTTCTGAACGCTTGTAAGGAACAGCAAAAAAGATGATCTTTGATGCTCCGATTTTTGTCCCTTTGGAGACTGGCTTCCGCAAACTTTGGGATAAAATCAGATTTAAATCTATTCCATTAAGGTTTTTTTTTTTTAAAGATATGATTTTAATAGATTTTGAAAACAGGAAGAAAAAGCAGGGAAGCGAGCAAAGAGAGAAACGAGAAAGTACCCAACAAAAAGCAAGATAAGTGCAAAAAAGAAGAGGAGGGAAAAAATGTATAGGTAGTCCTCAACTTAACACTTGTTCATTTAATGACCGTTCGAAGTTACAACGGCACTGTAAAAAGCGACATGATCATTTCTCGCACGACCGTTGCAGCGTTCCCCGTGGTCACGTGATCGAAATTCAAACAGTTGGCAACTGACTCGTCTTTATGACGGCGGCAGTGTCCCCGGGGTCACGTGATCCCCTTTTGCGACTTTCTGACAAACTCAATAGGGAAACCAGATTCGTTAATGACCGTGTTGCTAACTTGACACCTGCAAATGATTCATTTAACAACTGTTGGCAAGGCAGGCCGTAAAATGGGGGCAAAGCTCACTTAACAAATGTCTGACTTAACGACGATTTTGGACTCCATTGTGGCCGTAAGTCAAGGACTTACCTGTAAAGGCAAAAAAAAAAAAAGGAACGACTTTCAACTTTCTTTGATGCAAACATAAATATATTCAGTTGAGTTTTGATGGCACCCGTGCCAGATACAAAGTTGTGTGATTATTTTTTTCTCTCTCTCTTTTTTTCCCCTTAAGGCCTTTTCTGGATCTGGGAACAGATTGGATGGAAAAAAGAAAGGAGTTGAGCCAAGTCCTTCTCCAATTAAACCAGGAGACATTCGGCGGTTAGTTGCGCCCTTTTTTCTCTATTTCCATCATTCACGCAAATCATTGCTGTTTTCCCTGGCTTGGCCTGGTTTGTTTATCGCTTGTTTGTTTAGGCATAGTTTAATATATAAATTATTGTTATCTGGGTTTGCCACAGACTATGTTAAAATGGCATCTGGCCCTCTCAATTCCTGGCAAGTAGATGGGGAAGAAATGGAGGCAGTGAGAGATTTTATCTTCTTGGGCTCCAAGATCACCGCAGATGGGGACTGCAGCCAAGAAATTAAAAGACACTTGCTCCTGGGGAGGAAAGCTATGGCAAATCTAGACAGCATACTAAAAAGACGTCACCCTGCCAACAAAAGTGCGTATAGTCAAGGCCATAGTTTTCCCAGTTGCAATGTATGGCTGGGAAAGTTGGACCCTAAGAAAGGCTGAGTGCCAAAGAATGGAGGCCTTTGAACTCTGGTGCTGGAGAAGACTCCTGCGAGTCCCCTGGACTGCAAGGCGGTCCAACCGGTCAGTCCTACAGGAGATCAACCCCGACTGCTCTTTAGAAGGCCAGATCCTGAAGTTGAAACTCAAGTACTTTGGCCACCTAATGAGAAGGAAGGACTCACTGGAGAAGAGCCTGATGCTGGGAAAGATGGAGGGCAAGAGAAGAAGAGGACGACAGAGAATGAGGTGGCTGGATGGAGTCACTGAAGCAGTAGGTGTGAATTTAAATGGACTCCAGAAGATGGTAGAGGACAGGAAGGCCTGGAGGAACATTGTCCATGGGGTCGCGATGGGTCGGACACAACTTCGCAGCTAACAACAACAACGTTAAAATAACCACACTGGCTGATTTTGTAAAGTTGCTTCAGCCGAAATAACTCATGGCTGGGTTTGAACTAAGCTAAAATGAGGTGAGGTGGGGGGTTAAAGCAGTGTTTTGTGAGAACCCAGCGACTGTCTTTGTGGATTAACAGGTTGATTTTTGAAATGCTTGCGAAAGCCAGCATCCTTTTGACTCGTGGTGTCTTTATAAAGTACAGTAAAATTTCACTGTGTTAAAATAGCCAGCCAGGGAACAAAGGGAACCTGTGAACGCAGGTCCCCAAATGCAAAATCGACTTGATTAAACCTTTTCCTGTCTTTTTAAATGGCGAACTTTCCCCCCCCCTTCCTCCCCTTTGCAGGGGCATTCCGAATTACGACTTCAAAATTGGCAAGATCACATTCATTAGAAATTCCCGGCCGCTGGTCAAAAAAATAGAAGAGGTGAGTGAAGCTGGATAGGGCCCTTTATTTATTTATTTTTTAAACCGGATTTCAGATTGTAAACTTCAATAAGCGGTCACCTTTCTCCGAGACCAAAACCAGCCAGAGAAGTTGCAGCTGGTGATTGCGGTCTGTTATGCATCACGTTCCAAACATCAGCAATATATATCAGTTTTTCCAGAGAAATTGAAAAGATTAGGAGGGGGGAAAAAAGAAACAAATATATCAGAAAACGTGGTGAATTTTTTTAGCGTTTGCTGGGGTTTTTTTTAACCCAATGACATGTCTTTCTTATTTGTTTGTTCATTGTATTCATCTGCCTCTCCGATCTTAAAACTCAGGGCAGTCTTGATCCAGGGCATAAGAAAGAATAAATAATTCAATGCCTTTTTTAAAAAAAAAAAATGAAATGAACGGAAATCTGGTGCTAATGTTGCGCTAGGTAGCTTGCGAGCCAAAATCCCCGGAAATGATTTGTGCAAGCTTTCCTGGTGTCCCCTCCCCACCCACCCTCTACTAAAAAAAAAAAAAAACTGGATGCTCAATAAGCTTGAAAAGTATTCTTCCGAATAGCATTGGAAGCAGGGCCTGTTGACTTTGTGAATGCGATTCCAGAAAATAATTAGGGTTCACATTACTTCTCTACCCTTTTTCTGTGTTTCCTCAGGATGACGCTGGTACTCGCTTTATTGCGTTCTCCGGAGAAGGTCAGTCTCTTCGCAAGAAAGGCAGAAAACCCTGAACTCTGCAGTCGGAAGACAATAAAATAATCCTGTATACTAGCATTTCTGGCAAGGCTGTTTGTTTGCCTGTTTCTCTGTCAAGCGCCTTAATGATCTGAACAGAAAATGAAAATTGGCTTCTGAAGTCTTTTCAGTTTTGAGAACAAAGCCCACTCCCTTCTAGCACTGATGACGTTACCTAGTGGGGTAAAGAGATGTCTGCAGGAAAACAACCAAGTTCAGAGAGCACCAAGAACCCAACAGTCGTCCTCCTCCTCCTCCTCTTCCTATCTAGCACTGATGTTGTTACCTAGTTGGGTAATGTAATGTCTGCAAAAAAAAAAAAAAACCTCCACCAAGCAGGGACCCCACAGATCAAGCCTGAGCTGCAGATATTTTCTCCTATTTGTATATTTCATTTTAAGAAAGTGAAGCAAGGAGAAACTTCCTGACAGTTAGAACAATTCACCAATGCTCCAACATTGGAAGTTTTTAAGAAGAAACTGGACAGCCATTTGTCTGAAATGGTATAGGGTTATCTGCCTGAGTAGGGGGTTGGACTTGATGACCTCCAAGGTCCCTTCCAACTTTATTATTATTATTAAAAGCAGTGGTAACTAAGCGCGGCTTGCTAACAAATCTGGGAGCGCTTGGCTCTAACCCTTGGGCCTGCCTGCCTTAGCCTTCCTAGGAAGCAGAGTGATTCCACTGGTGGTGGTGGTGGTGGTGGTGGGGAAGACAGATGACTAGAGGGCAAGCCCTCGTATTCCACTTCCCCAGCCAACATCAACAAATACAATTGGTACTTTCCCCCAGGTTTAATTTTTGTGGGTTTTCAGGTTGAGAAACTGCGCTTTCCAGCAGCCAAGTGACATTCTGATCCAATTGCTTTGCTTGCAGTGTTTCTCAACCTTGACAATTTTAAGGCACGTGGACTTCAACTCCCAGAATTCCACAGCCAGCAATACTGGAGTTGAAGTCCGCGTGCCTTAAAATTGTCAAGGTTGAGAAACACTGCAACCAGGGTATGAATTGTGAATAACGCACTGGCCCAAACCATTAAAAAAAACTCATTTAAAAAAAAAAATTAAATTCCAATGTGAGCCTTCTAGCCTCCTATCATGCAACCACAATTCCCAGAAAGCCCAGCCCACATGGCCAAAACGACCACACTGGCAAAATTACATTGATCCACATTCCTGCCTTGAATTGTTTTAAACTTAAAGCTTTTAAACACCGTATATTTTTTTTTTACCCGCACATGGAGGAACTCTTGCTTTACATCTGGGAACCGGAAGCGGTGTGTGCTCGCTACGGACTGTAGCCCTGAGTTCCCCCGAGCCTGACCCGCCTATCCGCTTTTTCCATTGCACAAGAGAACCGGAAGAGAGGGCTGCGCGCTGTTGACTGTAGCCCTTAGGTCCCTGTCACGTTCCCATCGGCGCTTTGCCCCGCCCATTGGGACAAAGGTGGGCGGGGACGATCGGCCAGAAGCCCCGCCCCTGTGGGAGTCGTTCCTCCACCGGACCGATGGCCGTTGAAAGCGGATCTTGGCGGGTGAGCTTTCCTGGGTCACAATTAGCCCAGAATCGGGGCTAATATTGAAAAACTGGCCCCTGGGAGGGACATTCCCTTGATTCAGCAGGAAGGAAACGCCTTTCTCGCGGTGTAACTCGCAGGTCGTGCGAATGCAGGACACGGGAGTTTGCAGGTCGTGTGAAAGCACTCCCGGTGGTGCATTTCTTCGGGATTTAGCGGCCCGCCCACCCATTGGAGCGCCCTCTCCGGTGCCCGTGGGAACGTGAAAGCTTTTAATAATAATAATAATAATAATAATAAATAATAGTGTTGGAAGGGACCTTGGAGGTCATCTAGTCCAACCCCCTGCTCAGGCCGGAAATCGTATACCATAATCGTGCATTATTCTACTTATATTTTACATTCTGTGTTTCAGCATAAATGTATATGCCGGGCGTCATGGTTTTTATTACATTTTATACTCAAACAAAATTATAGGTCGCCCAGGGTTGCAACATGGGTGTAAATTTAATAAGTAAAAAATTATATTAGATTAGTACGTATGTTACATATTGCATGTAATATACCTATTAAATGTATATGATGTATTGAAATAAGTATAACATGTTCTGTAACATAACACTGATTGCTGTTGGGATACTAGCGTGATAGGTGTATCATAATTAATATATTTATAAATAATGGGTCAAAATTGTACGCTGCCTGACTCTGAATCCACTCTGGGTGGCTTGTAACAATCAAACAAATAACAATAAATAAAGCAGGAAAGCTTAACCACCTAGAAAAAAAAATAAGCATCGGATGAGTCCAGTGAGTGCGATCTAAAAGGGCAAAAATTGAGATTAAGGAAAAGTGAGAAAGTTAGAAGGCAAAAATGAAGAACATTTAAGGACATCCGTTGCAGGATCTGCTTTGTGGATCCTGCTGATTTCTTCTGATCTGGGTGAATCTCAGATTTGTAGGTCTTTCAGCACTATTGCAACTGACCCAAAATTTCTAAGTGAAACATTTGTTAAGTGAGTTTGCTCTGTTTTACAACTTTCCTGGCTCCAGTTGTTAAGGTGAAAATCGCTGCAGTTGTTCAGTTAGTAATCTGGTCGTTAAGCGAATCTGGCCTCCCCATTGACTTTGCTTGTCATAAGGTCGCAAAAGCGGATCGTGTGACTCCAGGGACACTGCAACCGTCATAAATATGAGTCAGTTGCTGAGCATCTGATTTTTGATGAGGTGACCACGGGGAAGATACTGCAAGGGTCATCTTTAGGTGTGAAAAACGATCCTTAAGATACTTTTTGCAGCGCTGTTGTAACTTTGAACGGTCACTAAGTCGAGGACTACCTGTCCTGTATTTTTGTGCTGTGTGTGTCCGACAGCCGCCCCGAGCCTGCGCAGATTACTGGTCTGAATGGAAGCTGTGTCGGAGCATCCGTAATCTATACCATCATTATTACACTTACGGGGAGATGCCGTCGTGCGCGCAGTGGAAAAAGGATTACAAGAATTGCAAAGAATGGGAGAGAACAAAAAGCGTGACGGCCAAGGTAGGGCGTGGGATCTGGAGGATGGAAGTTATAGAAACCTAATTTTATTCCTAAGTTTATTCCTCACTCGTACTTGTTTGTTTTTAAGACAATGCACCGTGCTGCATTTTGCCATGACGTACGACATTTAAAAAAAAAAAAAGCAGAAAAAGACATTTCTCTTCCTGTTTGGTTGATCAGTAGCAGGAACAGTCTACATTTTTTCCTCTTCCATTCGGTTGTGTCCAATTGTTGGGAGATTGCCCTGATAAATCCCTGCAGTTTTCTGGTGATGTTTTTTCAACCCAGGGTCTCTTGGTTTCCAGCCCGGTGACTTGACCTCTATACCAAATTTATTCTATGTAGTTATTGTACCTTTGCAATCTCTTTAACTATAAAGAGATAGGTATGATCAAATGTTGATTTTATCATTCAAATAGCAATAGCACTTAAGACTTATATATCGCTTTACAGTCCTTCCTAAGGGGTTTACAGACTCAGCCTCTTGCCTCCAACAATCTGGGTTCTCATTTTACTGACCTTGGAAGGATCGAAGGATGAGTCAACTTTAAACCAGTGAGGATTGAACTGCTAGGAGTGAGCAGAGTCAGCCTGCAATACTACATTCTAACCACTGCACTACCACAGCGTAGTTTGCCGATTGTTCAACTTTCTGTGAAAGTTTTGGCCTTGCCCTTACACTCTGACAAATTCTGACAGTAACAAAGGTTTAAAAACAGTGTAAAAATAACAGAACAGAAGCCATTCTGGACACAGATGTTTTCCAATAAAGGAGAATATTCATAGCTCAAAGTTGAAATGAGGAGTCTTTTGTGCTCTCTGAGCTTGGTGGTTTTCTTGCAGACGTTTCATTACCAAACTAGGTAACGTCATCAGTGCTAGAAGGGAGTGGGATTTGCTACAGATGATGTTACCTAGCTTGAGTAATGAAACGTCTGCAAAAAAACCACCAAGTTCAGAGAGCACCAAGGACCCTACAGATCTATTTCACTCTGAAAAGCCCTGTTTATTCCGAGAGTTGGGATATTATTAATAACAGCTTTGATCTGTGGCAGGAACAGTTGTGTGACAGTGAGCGACAACGGATGGCCAGGAAACAGAAATATGCACCAGTATGGAAAATGAGAAAAAGCCCTCCACCTGATTGGAATTCACCCATTGGGGAAGAAGACTTCAAATGATGAGCCCCCCCCCCAACATTCTAGTGGGACCTCTATCTGATGCCACTTAAGAGACTCTTAATCCTGAATAGAAGGATTTTTCCACCATAAAACTGTGCTCTCACCTGCCCGTACCTGGGTTTAAGTGTGTCCAATGTATGTTTCTGTAAACAGCTGCTCTGAATTCTTCTCCTAAGCCAGTGCAAAGTTTCAAAGGACATTCACAAAAACGTCGTTGCAAGGGATATATTTTGCTGTTCACAAGCTCGGTCTTCGTTGCAAATTAGTACAAAAAATGCCGATGCTGGGTGATAAGGGAACAACCCAAGAATTATTTATTTGTATGCCACATTCATGTCCTTTACAAACCACAGGGATTGTGTTCCCACAACTTAATAGCCCCCCCCCCAACCCAATACACTATGGCTTAACAGGATGTGTGAAAGTTAGATGTTTAGACAACTGGCAATTCTATTATGTTCAACACCACAGAGGAGATACACAGGTACTCCTCGATTTAAGAACAGTTCATTTAGTGACTGTTCCAAAGTTACAACGGCACTAAAAAAAAGGACTGTTTTTGACATGGCTGTTGTAGCATCCCCAGGGTGACATGATCAAAATTCAGACGCTGAATTTTGCAGTATCCTGGGGTTACGTGATCCCTTTCTGCGACCTTTCTGACAAGCGAAGTCAATGGGGAAGCTAGATTCCTTTAACAACATTACTAGCTTAACAACCACAGTGATTGTAAAATGGGGCAAAACCTATTTAACAACTGTCTTAGGGATGGAAATGTTGGCGTCAGTGGTGATCAAGGACTACCAGTATAAAAATAGCTTTTCATCAGCACTGTGTGTTCAGGCAAAACTACTTTAAAAGATTGGCAAGTGTACTTTATTGAACATCCAGCAGAGTAGTAAAATATGGAACTTCTACAAAACGTTGATCAATACATTAATGCCACCTACTCTTGATATCGTAAGAATCAGCTAAGAATAGTTAGGATGGGGGTCTCAGAGGCTTTGCGTTTTCAATCGGCGAGAAAATGAATCCTTTCCGAGGGGCTTGTCTCCCAACAAGATTTTATTTATTGAATAAATGTGCACGGCATGTAGAAGATTGAACTCTTTATTTTTAAAAGAGTCAACATTCCAAGCTTTTTTCCACAGACTCTTGCGTGATCTATGGGTCTCAACGATGGGTTTAATCAAACAGCTACATTGAACTGGTGCTTGCGATCAAACAGATGGTCAGGTAGAACATAATTTAGCAGCTTTGCGCTTGCTGAGGGTGTTGGGTTTTCCCACAACCCAAATCAGTACGTATATATTCTTGTGAGATCGTTACATTTTCCTTCGGGAGCTTCGTATTTAGCCTGAGGGGGTGTGTGCAGGGGTTCTGGCCTGTCAAAAGGGAACAAGAGATTATCCCGTAGAATGGCTGCCTGATACAGCTCTTCCGACTCCAGCCGTAGTTCCCTTAAAGCTTGTTCCTGCGCAGCGACCAGAGTTTTTATGGTGTCCATCTCGGCCTTGTTCTCGCGATGCTTATAGGCAGCCCACCGCTTTAAAATTTTAGCTCGTCTTTCACGTTCTTCAAGGGGCAGCGGTGGGAGCTCTCGGACCCTGTGAGGAAAAACACAGTCAGGCCACAAACCACAAACGACACATGGAGATTCTTCTGAATTGAGTTCTTTTGTTTTACATAGCTTGTCCTTGACTTGCAATTCATTTAGGGACCGAAGTTGCGACGGCACTGAAAAGCTTTCATACTTAATGATCTTTGCAGCATTCCCAGGATCACATGATGAGAATTGAGATGCTTGGCAACTGACTCGTATTTATGACGGCACACCATCTTTCTTCGGCCACTTTGAGACATGTGGACATCAACACCCCAAATTCCTCCGCCAGCATGAACGAACATTGTAAATACATTTTTTTAAACAAAACTGCAGGAACAGTCTGCAGGGACCCCGCCTGCCCAATGTCCCATTACCTTTTTTCATCCATGAATCTGAAAGGGATTATGAAGTCTTCAATAGGAACCAGCTCTTGAGGTGCTCTTTCCAATTTTTTGATTTTCTTTTTCAGCCTTTCTCTTAGAGCATGGTCCTTCTTCGGATCTGTCTTTTTCTTCTTCCTTGGGGGCTCTGCTCTAATGGAGGGGGGGGGGATAAATAAAATATAAAATAAAATACAAATTTTTACAGAATGCTATTTCACCTTCTCAGAATGACTTTAATCTCAAAAAGTAACAACATTTTTTGCTAGTTTCTAGCCTTTTTGGCCAGTTTACAGCAAAAAAAAAAGTACCCATAGGAATGGATTCATTTAACAACCAGCACATCTGCATTATAATCACAGTGTTTGCTTAACAACTAGTACAAAATAATTGTAAAATTGGGTCGGTCACTTAAGACAGATTTCCAGGCTCCATTATGGTCATTTATGTGTGGATGTTGGGGTGTATATGTGCTCACTCAAATGTAAATCCTGTTGGATTCAGCAACACTTTTTTCCTACATAAGCAAGAATTAAATGGCAGCCACGTTGATTGATTACTTGAGTGCATTGGATAAATTTGAAATGTGAACTTGGAAAAGCATTTCAATAGTTCTTCCTATATTATCAGGTGGAAAGGATCAAATACCAATCTGGGCTTTACCTCATGGGCAGAGCTGTTCTCAGTTCCAGGAGGGAAGACTGCCAGTGGTTCGCTCGGAGTTGTCCATTCCAGATTAACTGGGAACTAAAAAAATGTATATAATGTCAATCCAGGGTTGTTGTGGGGAAAACAGTTCGAGGAAGGTGGTGTTGGATATGTCTGGCACCATTAATTATTTATTAATATTAATAAAGGTGGGATACAAATGAATAAAAATAATGGATGGACGCTTATCAAGGAGACATTCAACCTAGAACTAAGGAGGAATTTTCTAACAGTGAGAACAATTAATAAGTTGCCTCCAGAAGTTGTGGGTGCTCCATCACCGGAGGCTTTTAAGAAGAGACTGCACAGCCATTCATCCGGAATGGCATAGGGTCTCCTGCTTGAGCAGGGGGATGAACTAGATGACCTCCAGAGTCCCTTCCAACCTTATTCTATGTTCTATAAATTACGATAAGCTGTGGATGCTCCATCGCTGGAGGCTTTTAAGAAGAGACTGGACAGCTATTTACCCGGAATGGCATAGGGTCTCCTGCTTGAGCAGGGGGATGGACTAGATGATCTCCAAGGTCCCTTCCAATTCTGTTATAGCTTTTCATGGCGAGGTTGGGGCGGGGCGTCCTCAAGGGCTCCCCCTAAGCAGCCCATGGGGGAAGGAAAAAGACCCCCATCCCCCCCAGGACTCCCTTCGGGCCGCTTACCGAAACAAAACGCCTCCCGTCCCGCTCCCGAGGAGGTTCAACGCAGCCCGAGCCCACATGGCTCCCTTCCCGACGGAGGACCGCTCCCAGCGACGCACCGCAGTCCGACGGTGAATGCTGCTCTCCGGCTTCCGAACGCTCGTCGGGAAGTTCCGGGAAAGGTGCGCGCGCAGCCTTCGCCTCTACCGCCTTCCCTCCCTCCGTCCGTGCTGCATTCTCCAACCTGGAGCTCTCCGAATAACAACAACAACAACAATAATAATAAAGTTGAAAGGGGCCTTGGAGGTCATCTAGTCCAGCCCCCTGCTCAGGCAGGAAACCCTATGCCATTTCGGACCCTCTCTTGTTTAGAATACCGGACGTTGGAGAAGTTTGCTTCTGGAGGAAAGGGAGAAGGGTCGATTTGACGTAATGGCGGAGGAAGGGGCTAAGCTGCGAGTTCTAGTCCTCCCGCTGCCGTGGAAGGTCACCGTCCAACCCAAAAAACCTGGAAAAATTGGGAATAAAACAAGGGTTTTTTTTCCTGTTTTTTTCCCCCAAAGGGTTTTGGAAAAAAAAAGGAAAGAAAAAAAACTCAGAAAAAAACCTTGTTTTATTCCTATTCCCCCCCCCCCAGACTTTCCCATCTCTAATAGTGGTGGTTCTTTGTATGGGTTTCTTTCCTCCGCCAAGAGTGAGATCTAGAATTTGGACACATTGCAATTTTAAGCACCAATAACACCATCTTTGTAGCCAAAGGTTGAACTGGTGGGTCCTCTTTGAGGTTGGTGGTTTTCTTGCAGACCTTTCACAACCCAACTGGTAACATCACGAGTACTAGAAGGGAGTGGGATTTTCTAGCACTGATCATACGTAGTTGGGTCGTGAAATGTTTGCAAGAAAACCACTCAGAGAGCAACAAGGACCCCACAAATTTAAGTATAGCAAACGTCTCATCCTTCCAGTACAATCCCATCCATTGCTATTAAGGATTCTGCCTGTGTTTTGATATTCCAAAATTGAAACCGCATATCCACTGCTTGGCTACCTGACTGCTAGGAAAAAAAAAAAAAAAACAACGTAACACCCCGGACTTAACAATTGTCGATAAGAAAGACAAAAAGGTCTGGATAGTGGACGTGGCAGTGCCTGGAGACAGCAGAACAGACAAAAAAGAACTGGAGAAGATAACAAAATACAAAGACCTACAAATAGAAACAGAAAGACTGTGGCAAAGGCAAGCAAGGGTGGTACCAATAGTAATAGGCACCTTGGGTGCAATCCAAAAACAACTGGAGCACCACTTGAACACCATCGTTGGCATTGACAAATTCGACATTAGTCAGTTGTAAAAGGCAGCCTTACTAGGAACTGCTTCCATCTGTAACACCATCAAACATCCACATCTGCCTATCCCAGTCCTTGGGAAGAACTTGATAAGTAGACAAAAATGCCAAGTCCAGTCTGAACATCTGGTTGACTGTGTGATGATCAATAATAATAACAACAACAACAATACTAATAGACTTGGAAGGGACCTTGGAGGTCTTCTAGTCCAACCCCCTGCTCAGGCAGAAAACCCTATACCATATTTTTATTCTATATAATGCAAGTAGTTCTTATGAGCACAGTTGAGCTCAACATTTCATCATAAATGTGAGTCCATTGCCAAGCATCTGAATTTTGATCACGTGACCCTGGGGATGCTGCAAAGTGTGAAAAAACGGTCCTGAGTCCCTTTTTTCATTGACCGTTGTAACTTCAAACGGTCACTAAATGAACTTTTTCTAAGCCGAGGACTACCTGTATACTAAAATAGGTAAACACATTTTAATGCACTTTAAAATATATTTTAATACAGTATATAAACACAATACAACAAAATATACAGGTGAATAATACCCCTGTAACTGGAATATATATATTAAAAAAATCCATCAGAGCCGGGGAGTTGCAGGGACGCTCATGACGTCACCCCACCGCCGCCTGGCCCGTCTCCTCCCGCCGAACTACACCTCCCAGCATGCCTCAGCGCCAGCCGGCACAGCGGAGGCTCCCGGGAGCTGTAGTTCCCCGCCGCCTGACAGGGCCGCCCCGCGCTCCTCTCTCAGCCCTGCCTTAGCCATGCCGGCCGCCCGAGCCTCCGAGCCGCCCCACAAGCCGGCCGCCGACCCCGCCGGGGATCCTCCGCGGGCGGGACGCCTCTCGCCCCCGCGCGCTTCACCCCCCCCACGAGAAGCCCCCCGCCGCGCCACCCGGCCGGCCTCTCTGGGCGTCGTCCCTTGTTTCCCGCCGGGCCGCTTGGGTCGTTGCCCTCCGCTGACTTCCGGCGTTGCCGGGGAGCCGCCGGGAGCGGGGGATGCGGCCGGGTGGCGGCGGCTGCTGCTGCTGCTGCGGGCGGGACGGGCGCGGGCGATGGCGCGGCGGCCCTGAGGCCCTCGAGGCGGCGGCGACGGCGGAGAAGGGAGGCGGAGGAGGAGGAGGGAGGCGGCGCTGAGGCGGCCGGCGGGGCAGGGGCGAGGGCCGGGGTGCCGCCGCCGCCTCCGCCCAGGGCAGCCTGAGCCGGGGCCGTCCCGCCTGCCCCGGCCGGCGGCCGTCCCCGGCACGGAGCGAGAAAGAAGCGGAGGAGGAGGAGGAGGCGGCGGGGAAAATGAAGCTCCTGAAGCCGACCTGGGTCAACCACAACGGTGAGCGCGTGCAGAGGGCGCCTCTGAGCGCGTGCAGAGCGCTCGGGGAGGCGTCAGCCGCCGCCGCCCCCCCCCCCCGTGCTCGTGGCCGGGAAGAATGGAGGGGGGTCCTCTGAGGGAGTGCAGAGTGTTGGGGGAGGGTTTATCCCCCACGGGGAGGGGGGAAGGAGGGGGGGGTCCTCTGAGCAAAGGGGGAAGGATGGAAGGTGTGGAAGAGATCAGAGAACCAGAAAGTGTCTCTTTAAACGCTAAGATATATATATATATCCAGTTGCCTTTTGGAAAAAGCAGCAGCTTTGGGATAACCATGACCTGGATCAGTGTTTCCCAAACTTGACAATTTTAAGGCATGAGGACTTCAACTCCCAGAATTCCACAGCCAGCGTTGCTGGCTGTGGAATTCTGGGAGTTGAAGTCCTCATGCCTTAAAATTGTCAAGTTTGGGAAACACTGACCTGGATGATTAAGAATGTCTATTGCTATTTCTTGGAGATATTTATTGACATTTAAATTGGGCTTTGGAGTTTGCCTCTTTGTTTGTTCAACATAGAAGGAAAGTCGTTAGTGACATCTTAGCGATTAAAGAGACACTTTCTTGTTCGCTGATCTCTTCCGCTATGCAGTTTCTTGAAGACAGTACTGCTTGCTTACTGCAGACCTGCAATCATAATCATAACGTTGGAAGGGACCTTGGAGATCACCTAGTCCAACCCCCTGCTCAGGCAGGAAACCCTATCCCATTTCAGACAAGTGGCTGTCCAGCCTCTTCTTGCAGACCTCCAGTGTTGGAGCATTCACCGCTTCTGGAGGCAGGTTGTTCCCCTGGTTAATTGTTCTGACTGTCAGGAAGTTTCTCCTTAGTTCTAGGTTGCTTCTCTCTTTGGTTAGTTGCAGGGACAGTGTGCGTCCTCCCAGTACTTTTGTTGAAGTGCAGAGTTCCCTATTTTAGCATTGCACTGTTTCTATCCAGGGGAGGCTAAATGGTCTTTTTTCCCCCTGAAAATTAAAGAGCTCATCTAGTGCCTAAGTGACCATTTCATGACCTCTACAGGATATGTATTTCCCATCCAGATCAGAACTGCTTGGACCCTGAAAAAAAAAAAAGTATTAAAATATACTTTGGCCTGCTCATCTCCCATTAGGAAGACAAATGTTAGCACCTCTAACTTGTAAATATCTTTTGCAACGGGCCTGGTTGGGTTTTATGGAAAGCAGGATGCATTTGGCAATTCCTAGCTAAAGACCGTCTTCCGTTGTCTTCTTATTGAACTTTATTCAGCCTCCTGGACAGTTAAGCTTTGCTTTAGTGATTTTTTGCTGGGAGATTTTGTAAAGATACCAACAAGGGATCTGATAACAGAAGATAACATATTAACCTTCTTAAGAATATAGATTGAGAAGAACTCCAAAGTGTTTTTTGCTGATCCTTTAATCCTTATTATCAGGAAGGATCTGGAAGCAGAGTTGTTGTTTTCCCTTCCAGAGGTGAAGAAAGGGCTCCAGATACCCATACCATGCACAGAGTGTCCTGCTTGGTTTCCCGGGAAGGGGTGTTTGACGTTCCTTCCATCCAAAGGGTTGGTGGATGGGCTACTCCTCAAAGTAGCCTCGTTGCAGAGAAGTTTCACCAGGGGCCGTTCTGCTTTCTTTTTAGAAAATCAGCTAAAATACTGTCGATCAATAAGACCTCCAGAGTGCAAACTTTGCAATCAAATAGGTCACCCCTGAGGGTAGGATACATGCAGGTTTTAAAGCGTATTATTAGTTGTTTGCACTTTTTTTTTCTTTTTCGGCCATATGTTAGCAGCAACCTGCTGAGGCAGTGACGGGCTGCTAGACATTTTTTTCCCATTTCGTGCTCAGAGATTATAGAAATAGAATTTGGCTGAGTTGGAAAACATTCTTGGTCCCTGATCCCTGAGGCCCTTTGGAAAACCAACTTCTTGTTTAAATTTAACCTTGAAGTTTTATTTTGGATCGTTGCTGGCTGACTATCAGTTTGTTCGTGATAAACTATCTCTCTCTCTGCAGCCTGTGGTGCATTACAAGCCCAAGGATCCTCTCTGCTCAAAGATTTTTTTTCTCTTATTTTTGTTTTTTTTCACAGCCAAGCCGATATTTTCAGTTGACATTCATCCAGATGGGACCAAGTTTGCAACTGGAGGTCAAGGTACGGTGGCCGCGAAAGTTTCTTGTAAACTCCTGCACCCAGTCCACAAAAGGAACTTAAATAGTAACCTGTACAGGTACACTTTGCTTAGGCACCACTTGTTCAGCGATGGCTTAAACTTGGCAGTGGCGGGAGGGAAGACTTAAAACTGGTCTTCAAATATGTAGCAACATCCCCACGGTCATTTGATCATGATTTGGGCAACTGCATTTACCATAGTTGCAGCATCCCGCAGTTACGTGATCGCCCTCTGCGACTTTCCCTGCTGGCTCCCAGCAGGCAAAGCCAATGGGGAAGGCGTGCGGTCCTCACTTAACAACCTGCAACTTGCTCAGCGACCACCACGAAAAACACTGTGAGTCGTTGTGGAGGTCCTCGCAGAAGGACTGCCTCGCTTAACAGTGGCCTTTCCTGCTGTGTCGTGGAAAAACCCAGTGAAAAAGACAAGAGACAGTAACACAAAACAATCCTCCTTACTTTAAGACTCAGAAGTTTATTTCAGGAATAATTTGGAACACACACATAAACATCCCTTACGTTAAAAACCCATTGCAATGAAGTCCAGTGACCTAGCAGGTCCAATAAGGACAGCTATAGGCCAGTGGCCAATCAATCAGGTCCAGTCCCAACTTTTTATACCCTTTCTCGTCCTAAGACCGTAGACGTGGTCAGCAATCTTACACTTTCTGCTGAACGTAACTTTCTTGTCTACATTGGAACCCGCATCCATCAGTTACTTTCAGTTCACTACTTCTTAACAGTTCAAAATATATTTAAAACAAGCAAGCTTAGCAAAAAATCATATTAAGTCAAATACAGTTGCAGTTTAGATTACAAACAGTAGTTCCTTCGGATTGTAAAACTGAACATAGCGCAAACTTTGGTTCAATACTTTTGCATGAGGCCTGACTCAGCTCACCTGGGCCTAAACCTCACATAGAAGAACCATAGCCAATATTTTAATTTTCCACAGGTCAACCCGTAAATACAGTAAGCAGCCCTTTATCTTAACAAATCTCTTTTGAATCAAGTAATGCTGAACGTATGTTTTATTTAATGATCATTTTAAAATATTACCCTGGTCCTTTCGCGTGGGATACAGAAGATCGTAAGTGAAATATTCTTAGACCTAAAATGATAGACAATAAAGAACAGTATAGGCATCACCCCTAGAGTTATATCTGACTTGGACATGCTCCCTCCCTGTTTGAATGCTGGTTGTTTTTGCTAGTTATAATAGCCCTGGGCTATTCCTGAGTCTGTCTGCATTTGGTTTTGATTTATTTAAGGGGTGGACTTCGCCTGCAGCGAGTCCCACAGCTTGCTGCTAGCGTGGCGAACAGCAGGGACCGAGATTCTTGGGATAAAATATCAGAAGCAAATACGCTTGCCAGCCCTGAGGTTATAATTAATGTGGCATTAGTTGGATTAATTCAAAATGTGCAATTTAATAGGCTTCAACGTTCAGTCACTTTCCTCTCTTTTATTTACAGTGGCAGGGGTACATTATTCCCTAATCAAAGTGATGCTAGCTGCAGAATTTTTTTTTTTAAAAAAAAACCATTGTGAATTAAGTGCCATAGGTGTTTCCTGAGATCTTAAATTATTATTAAAAAACATTTGTGGCTCCCTACTATCATTACAGACGTTAGATTTCCTGCAGAGTCCAGATTGTAGCTGCGTGTTTCATAGTTGTGCATCGTTCAGCTAAACTTAAAAAAATGTGCAGCCGTGAACTGGATTTTAAAGGCCGTGTTTCTTTGTAGGGTATTTTTGTTAAAATCCTGTCGCTGCGGCGCTCAGTGGAATTGGGTTCTCTAATTTTAAGTGGTGTGGACTTCAACTCTCAGAATTCCCTAGCGGCCAGACGATCTGGGAAGCTCTGGGAGTTGAAGTCCACGCAGCGTAAAGTGGCCGCGGTTGAGAAATCCTGACGGATAAGGAGACACTTCTAGTGCTCTGTTATTTGCTAAATTGAGGAGGAAAGTTACTCTCTGCTTCAAAGGAAGCTCTAAGGACCCTTAGCAAAGATGCACAGCCTTGTTCTTCTCTTGTAGTAACTGCAGTTTGCTTTTCTTGGGGTCTTCAGGACAGGATTCCGGAAAAGTGGTAATATGGAATATGGCTCCTGTCGTCAGGGAGGAGGACGAAAAGAACGAGAATGTGCCCAAAATGCTTTGTCAGATGGACAATCATTTAGGTATGGTAGCATAGATTTTTATTTTTTTGGGGGGGGGGCTAATGGGCCAGCATAATGTGAGAGCCAGTTTGGTCTAGGGGTTAAGTCACCAGACTAGAAAGCAAGAGATTATGTGTTCTAGTCCCGCCTTAGGCATGAAAGCCAGCTAGGTGACTTTGGGCCAATCACCAGGAGACTGTGAGTTCTAGTCCCGCCTTAGGCATGAAAGCCAGCTAGGTGACTTTGGGCCAATCACCAGGAGACTGTGAGTTCTAGTCCCGCCTTAGGCATGAAAGCCAGCTAGGTGACTTTGGGCCAATCACCAGAAGACTGTGAGTTCTAGTCCCGCCTTAGGCATGAAAGCCTGCTAGGTGACTTTGGGCCAATCATCAGGAGACTATGAGTTCTAGTCCCGCCTTAGGCAAGAAAGCTGGCTGGGCGACTTTCATCAGGAGACTGTGAGTTCTAGTCCCGCCTTAGGCATGAAAGCCTGCTAGGTGACTTTGGGCCAATCATCAGGAGACTGTGAGTTCTAGTCCCGCCTTAGGCATGAAAGCCTGCTAGGTGACTTTGGGCCAATCACCAGGAGACTGTGAGTTCTAGTCCCGCCTTAGCCGTGAAAGCCAGCTGGGTGACTTTGGGCCAATCACCAGGAGACAATGAGTTCTAGTCCCGCCTTAGCCATGAAAGCCTGCTAGGTGATTTGGGCCAATCACCAGGAGACTGTGAGTTCTAGTCCCACCTTAGGCGTGAAAGCCTGCTGGGTGACTTTGGGCCAGTCTCTCCCTCTCAGCCCAAGCGTGTTGAAGGATTAAAAACGCCACCTGTGCTTTGAAAATATCACCAGGTGGTAACTCTCCCACTAATATAAGCTCCCGCCTTAGTATAAGAATGTGTTCTGAGGTTTTGTTTTGTTTTTTCCCAAGCATCTTTGTCTTCCCATTTTTGTTCTAGCCTGCGTGAATTGTGTGCGGTGGTCCAACAATGGCATATACCTGGCCTCTGGGGGAGATGACAAACTGATCATGGTCTGGAAGAGAGCGGCGTAAGTGTACTTTCCTTCCTTCTTCCTCCCAGCAAGTTTAATTCTTGGCACCTTTCTTGGACTCTTTTTGGGAAAAAAAAAACTCCTTATCTTATGTTCAAGGTTGGGTAAATAGCTGTAATTATAACCTCTATCCTATTTTGACTTGATGGCAGCCCATTTTATCATGGTTTGACCTTCACTTAATACTTTATGTTGCTCATTGTATTATTGTTCACACGTTTTGCATACATGTATATGCTGACACACTATTTAAACTTATTTATTTATGAGACTTATATACCGCTTTAAGTGCAAGCACTCTCTAAGCGGTGTACACCAGTAAGCAATGTATATATATATATTTTACATTGCCCCCAACAATCTGTTTGGCTTTGTGCATATGGTGTGTTTTAGGACCCCACAGTCCGTCCTTCCTTCCTTCCTTCCTTCCTTCCTTCCTTCCTTCCTTCCTTCCTTCCTTCCCTCCCTCCCTCCCTCCCTCCCTCCCTCTTCGCATTGTGTCCTAATTGTGTCACGAGATGTCTGCAAAAAAATCCTCCTCCTTTTCCTCTCCACAAATTCCACTTCCTTCTAGTGCTGATGATATTCCCTAGCTGGGTCATGAAATGTCTGCAAGAAAGCAACCAAGCTCAGAGAGCACCAAGGACCCCACAGTCGCCATCCATCCTCCTCCTCCTCCTCCTCCTCCTCCTCCTCCTCCTCCTCCTCCTCCTCCTCCTCCTCCTCCTCCTCCTCCTCCTCCTCTTTCTCTTCTCCACAAATTCCACTCATGATATTCCCTAGTTGAGTCATGAAACGTCTGCAAGAAAACCACCCAGGTCAGAGAGCACCCAGGACCCCTCATTTCAACCCTGATTTACCAATATTCTCTTTTATTGATACCTCCCCTGTTTCTTCCACAGCTACATCGGTCCCAGCACCGTCTTCGGTTCCGGTAGTAAGCTTGCTAATGTAGAACAGTGGAGGTGTGTCTCCATCCTGAGAAGCCACACAGGCGGTAAGAGTGCTTGAAGCTCTGAGACGGTTGGTCGCGTTGCGTGCTCTGCTTTCTAAAAATAAGGTTCATGGAGCAACTGTGGCAAAGAAAGGCCGTAAAATTGGGCAAAAATCACTTAACAACCGTCTGGCTGAGCCGAAGAAATGTTAGACTCAATTATGGCTCCTGAGTCAAGAGTTACCTGTATTTAGGTACTCCAGCAACAGGGATATCTGTAAGATACGGTCCAAACGGCAGTTGCGATGCTACAATTAAAGCTCTGTCTGTTTTTTTATGTACACCGTGGACTTCCACTTGCGTTGTCACACTACCTGTCCAGAAGAATAAGAACAGAAATAATCTAGAGCAGTGGTTCTCAACCTGTGGGTCGGGACCCCATTTGGGGTCGAACGACCATTTCACGGGGGTCGCCAAACAACGCAGTCTGCCATTTTTTTTCCCTTTTCCTTAGCTGTGCTCCTCCCTTTTATTCTATTGGCTTTTGAAAGCCAATGGAATAGACTCTCTTGAATAGAGTCTAATTCTATTGGCTTTCAAAAGCCAATAGGAATTGTCCAGGCTGTCTCTGCCCTGCTAAGCCCGCCAAAAGTCCCATTCTGCAAACGGTGCTGCACCAGTTGAGTAGTCCTCGACTTACGACCAGTTGAGTAGTCCTCGACCTACGACCGGTTGGGGGTCACGGCATTAAAAAGGTTGAGAACCACTGATCTAGACTATATAAATTTACTCGGGTGGTCTGCTGTAAGGGTCTCCCAACTGTGGCCACTTGAAGGCGTGCGGACTTCAATTCCCACGCTGGCTGAAGTTCACAAGTCTGAAAATTTGCTGAAGTTGGAGATCCCCGGACGACCAGCAATGTCCAGATATTAGGCCTCCATCAGCCACTGACTCCTGCCTGGTGCTTTTTTGATCAGGATCTTAGCCCACCTTCCCTTACCAGGTTTCCGTGGAGAAAAGTATATATAGAACTCGACTTAATGATGGTTTGTTCAACCATGTTTCCAAGTTTCTCACAATCTGTCCTCACACCTACGACCGTAACGCCACCCCTGCAGTCCCATGACCATCATTTGGGCGCTAGGCTCACCTCTTTGCATTTACACAACCCATTCCAGCATCCTCCTGTCACAGGATGAATTGGTTTGGGCCGGATGCTGTCCCTGGAATTCACGTGACCGTGTTTTTTAAAACTTCCCTGTAGATGTCATGGATGTGGCGTGGTCCCCACACGACGCTTGGCTAGCCTCCTGCAGCGTGGACAACACGGTTGTGATCTGGAATGCTCTTAAATTTCCTGGTAAGGACACTTGGAAAGTGTAAGGACACTTTGTGCTTGAGGTGAGGGGGGGAGGAAATGAAACTCTGATTTTGGGTTTGGGGTTATAGAAACGGCTACGGAATTTGGGTTTGGCCAGTCTAAACAAAAGAAGAAATAGGGGAGACATGATAGCAGTGTTTCAGTCTCTGAGGGGCTGCCCCCAAAAAGAGAGGGGGTCAAGTTGTTCACCAGAGCACCAGAGGGAAGGATGAGAAACCATGGTTGGACACTGATCAAGGAGAGAAGCAACCTGGAATTAAGGAGAAACTTCCTGACAGTGAGGACAATCAACCAGTGGAACAGCTTACCCCCAGAAATCGTAGGCGCTCCATCGCTGGAAGTTTTTAAAAAGAGGCTGGACAATCACCTGTCTGAGATGGGATAGGTCCTCCTGCTTGAGCAGGGGGCTAGACTAGAAGACCTCCAAGGTCCCTTCCAGCTTCTATTCTATTCTAAAATGGCTAGTATATACTATTACGTAAAAATCAAACGTTGAGGTTTCATGTTATTGTCTTCTTCTTCTGCATCAAAAGGAGTCAGAAGTCAATGCTTTTTTTTTCCCTTTTCCCCTCTACCTACACTTTTCTCTCTTCCCCTTTTCCTCCCCTATTTTACCTTCATTTTTCTTTAAGTTTGGTATTTTATGCTTTGCTGAAATTAATAAAAACATTTTGAATCTCAAAATTCTTGACAAAGAGCCAGCACTGACTGAATTGTTCTGCCACTGTGTGAACATCTGTTTTTCTCTAATCCGAAAACATTTCCAGTAACCAGTCTTTCCACTCTCTCTCTCTTTTTTTTTGTTTTTTTTTTACCTGTAGAAATCCTTGCTACACTGAAAGGCCACTCTGGCCTGGTTAAGGGGCTCACCTGGGACCCCGTTGGGAAATACATTGCCTCTCAAGCTGATGACCGAAGCTTGAAGGTCTGGCGAACGATGGATTGGCAGCTAGAAACCAGCATTACGAAACCTTTTGATGAAGTACGTATGGCGAGAGCGCTCTTAACTATTCCTGCATCGCTCCATCCTTCCGCAGCCAGGCTGAGAAATGCTTCCAAGTCAGTTCCAAAACACCCACTTGCCTGAGACTCTTTAAAGCAGCTACATCTTTTCCTAGAATCTCATAGTGCAGTGGTGACGAACCTATGGCACGGGTGCCAGAGGCGGCACTCAGAGCCCTGGCTGTGGGCACGCGTGCCGTTGCCCCAGTCCTAGGCCTTCAGCTGGGTTTTATAAAACCTTTTCGCTTTAGGCCTCCGCCGCCGTGTGCAAAAAAAAAAAAAAGGTTCAATCAATCAGTCAATTTCAACTTCTCGCGGGAAAAAAAAGATCTTGCAAAGTTGGAATTGATTGGTTGAACTTTTTAGTCCCACCCAGTCTGCTGTTACCACCGCAGCCACACCCACCCAATGGGCCACACCTACCTGGCACTCGACGGTGCATAAGTGGGTTTTGGGTTGCAGTTTGGGCACTCGGTCTCTAAAAGGTTCGCCATCACTGTCATAGTGGATGACATAGCTGGCTGAGGAATTCTGGGAGTTGAAGTCCATGAGTCGTAAAAGGGCCAAGTTTGAAGGCCCCTGCAGTAGAAAATCAGAATAGCTCTGCTTATCTCTTTCGTACTTCTCCGCCTGCGTACCTTTGCAAAAAAAAAACACCCCTGACTTACTTTTGTGCACGCTGTCCTCGTTCTCTTTCAGTGTGGAGGCACAACCCACGTGTTGCGCATCAGCTGGTCTCCCGATGGGCACTATCTGGTCTCGGCTCACGCCATGAATAACTCTGGGCCCACCGCCCAGATCATTGAAAGGGACGGATGGAAAACCAACATGGATTTTGTCGGGCACCGCAAAGCAGTGACCGTAGTGGTGAGTTCTTTCCCATCCTGAAAGGAGATTGTTCCAAAGTTAACTACGACAAAACGGTGGTGATAATCAAATTCAAAATCAAATTTTGATACGGGTACATTGAAGGAGAGTCAAAATACACAGAATATCAAGAGTTTAATATCAAGACAAATACGTCTGGAGCCGAAACAGCAGCCCTTAGGGGTGCTTTGATGGTCATAAGTGGGAGGACCGGTCCTGAGTCATTTTTTCTGTCCTGATTTCAAACAGCCGCTTAAGGCATGGGTCTTGAAACTTGGCCCTTTTAGGGCTTATGGACTTCCACTCCCAGAATTCCTCAGCCAGCGTGCCTGGCTGAGGAATTCTAGGAGTCGAAGTCCACAAATCATAAAAGGGCCAAGTTTGAAGACCCCTGGCTTAAGGGCTGGTTTGTAAGTCGAGAACCACCTGCAAAGCATCTGCTAGTTCCTTTTCTTAAAGTACCTTTTTTTAAAAAAAAAAAAAAATTAAATTAAGAAAAAAACTCAATTCTTTTTTTCCAGAAATTCAATCCAAAAATCTTTAAAAAGAAGCAAAAGAATGGCAGCTCTACCAAACCAAGTTGTCCTTACTGCTGTTGTGCAGTTGGCAGCAAAGACCGATCTCTTTCTGTCTGGGTAAGTAACAGGTCTGGTCAGATTTAAGGGGTTAGGTCAAAGGTGGGGAACCTTGGCTCTTTTATGACTCGTGGACTTCAACTCCCAGAATTCCTGAGCCAGCATGGAGGAAACGTATGGCCTCCTCATGACTTGTGGACTTCAACTCCCAGAATTCCTGAGCCAGCATGGCTCAGCTTGGAAAACTTCTCCCTTTCCTCTCAGCATGGCTGGCTCAGGAATTCTGGGAGTTGAAGTCCACACCTCTTAAAGTACCCAAGGCTGAGAAACAGTGGGTTAGGCCAGGGATAGGCAACCTTGGCTCTTTTATGACTCATGGACTTCAACTCCCAGAATTCCTGAGCCAGCATGGCTCAGCTTGGAAACCTCTCCCTTTCCCCTCAGCATGGCTGGCTCAGGAATTCTGGGAGTTGAAGTCCACCAGTCATAAAAGAGCCAAGGTTCCCCACCCCTGGGGTAGGTGGTCTTTTTTGCACGTCTGTATTTTTGCAAAATCAAATCAAAATCTTTGGGCCTTTTTTGGGATGACGTTTTTAGGTGAGGGATGTCCAATCTTTGCAACTTTTAAGACTTGCGGACTTCAACTCCCAGCATGGCTGGCTGGAGAATTCTGGGAGTTGAAGTCTGCAAGTCTTAAAAGTTGCCGAGGTCGGACACCCCAGTTTTAGTCTTCTTCAGATTCAGATCCTGCTTTGCTTTGAAACTGACCTCAGACTAAGCCAGGTTCCATGTCTTTCGAAGGATTGGGTTTTTAAAAGGGCCACTTCGTGAGTTTTCCATCCCTTCCCCTTTAAACATGCAGGAGATAATGTGAGGGTGCTTGTGGGTCACTCCCATCTTTTAAAAAGGCGATCAAATGGTCAATCAAAGCATTTTGCATTCATGGCTCAGAATGCTGTAATTTCTACTAGATCATAAAAGTTATATTCCCTCCTCAAGATTCAAACATGGGGAGTTTGTGGTCCTGATGTTGTTCTGAAATTCCAATTTTGCTGAATAACAATTCCCAGCAACTCTTGGTTTTGCCATACCATTGGGAACTGCTTGGAATTGTACTATACAGCTAGTCCTCCAGTTACGACTGTAATGTCCATTATGGTTGTCGCAGTTATAAAAGGGTTAGGTGACCAAGCTGATTTTATGAAATATTTTGGGGCAATCATTAAGCAGCCTAAGTGCAAATGCCCCAGTTGTTTACTGTAGCAACGTTTTGCCAGTTGTGCTGGTTTTTTGGCAAAACCATCATAAACTGCAGTCGTGAGAGTTTGCTGATGGACATAAATCAGCAAATGGGCATAAATGGAGGACCACCGGTGACATGATTTGAAGGCGGCAGGTTCCCACCAATTTGCTTAAATTTTCCACTCTTAGTTACTCTTGTAGCACAGATGAATGTATGCTCACTGAAGTACATCGTTAAGTCTCAGGATGTGAGACTCCTTTTGTGACACTCATACTCCTGTCATTTTGTTTTTAGCTGACGTGTCTGAAAAGGCCTTTGGTTGTCATACATGAGCTATTCGACAAGTCCATCATGGATATTTCATGGTAAGATAGCTTTCACAGGCACTTGCCTTCAGAGGTTGTGGGTGCTCCATCACTGGAGCCTTTGAGGAACAGATTGGACAAGCGTTTGTCTGAAATGGTATAGGGCAAGGGTCTTCCAACTTGGCCCTTTTATGACTTGTGGACTTCCAACTCCCAGAATTCCTCAGCCAGGCATGCTGGCTGTGGAATTCTGGGAGTTGAAGTCCACAAGCAAGGGTCTTCCAACTTGGCCCTTTTATGACTTGTGGACTTCCAACTCCCAGAATTCCTTAGCCAGGCACGCTGGCTGAGGAATTCTGGAAGTTGAAGTCCACAAGTCATAAAAGGACCAAGTTGGAAGACCCCTGGTATAGGGTTTCCTGCTTGAGCAGGGGGTTGGACTAGAAGACCTCCAAGGTCCCTTCCAACTCTGTCATTTTGTCATCATCCTACCGTAGAAGCTTCTTCAGTTCACTTCACTTCTTCAGTCCAGAAATGAAGAAGCTTCTTGGATGAGAAGCGAAACGTCTTCAAGGAAAAACAAAGAAAGCCCAGTTGCTGGGGGGGGGGAGCACCTTTGGGAACCTGGATGATTAAATCTCCATTTTTGTTTCTTCTCCTTCAGGACTCTGAACGGCCTTGGCATTTTAGTGTGTTCCATGGACGGGTCCGTGGCCTTTCTGGATTTTTCCCAAGACGAGCTTGGCGACCCCTTGAGTGAGGAAGAGAAGGTGCCTGTGGTTTTGGTTTAGCTGAGCATTCTAACCTTTCAAATCCCTTCTATTTTAAATAATACCAGACTGCCTAGAGCAGGGGTCCCCAACCTTTGGGGCACCAGGGACCGGTTCCGTGGAGAGAGGTTTTTCCGCAGACTGGAGGGTGCGTGGTTTTGTGTGCCTCCTGCATCCCGCGGATGGGGCTTTGCTTGTTTGTGCGGACTGGTTGCTGGCATGCCGCAGCCCAGTACCGGTCCACAGACCTGGGGTTGGGGACCCCTGGACTAGGAGATCTGATCCGGAGGACGCCGCTTACGTTCTGATGTTCTAACCCCTTTCAGAGCAACATCCACCAGTCTACCTATGGCAAAAGTTTAGCGATAATGACGGAGGCCCATCTCTCGACCGCCATTATTGAGAATCCGGAGATGCTCAAGTACCAGCAAAGGCAGCAGCAAATGGAGAAGAAGAACGAGGCCCTCCGAGACGGGATTGGTCCGGGAGTAGCAGTCACAGCTCCTAAGTTGGCCAGCATGGTGAATGGAGAAAGCTTAGAGGACATTAGAAAGGTAGTTTTTTTTTTTCCTGTGCCCTGTTTCATTCCTCCGGTCCTTCTTTTCAATAAACTCGTAAACTCAAATATACGTATCATGATGTAGCCGTGGAAGATCTGCCTCTTTGATAGAAATAGCCTTCCTTCCTTCCTTCCTTCCTTCCTTCCTTCCTTCCTTCCTTCCTTCCTTCCTTCCTTCCTTCCCTTCTCCCTCCATCTTCATTTCTTTCCTCTTGTCCCTTCCCCTTCCTTCCCTTTCATTTTTCCTCTTCCCTTCTCCTTCCTTCCTTCTTTCCTTCCTTCCCTCACTCCCTCCCTCCATCTTCATTTCTTTCCTCTTGTCCCTTCCCCTTCCTTCCCTTTCATTTTTCCTCTTCCCTTCTCCTTCCTTCCTTCTTTCCTTCCTTCCCTCACTCCCTCCATCTTCATTTCTTTCCTCTTGTCCCTTCCCCTTCCTTCCCTTTCATTTTTCCTCTTCCCTTCTCCTTCCTTCCTTCCTTCCTTTGCATAAATTCCACTCCCTTCTAGGACTAACGATTTTACCTAGTTTGGATAATGAAATGTCTGCAAGAAAAGAAGCAAGCTCAGAGAGCACCAAGGACCCTACAGTTCTTCCTTCCTTCCTTCCTTCCTTCCTTCCTTCCTTCCTTCCTTCCTTCCTTCCTTCCTTCCTTCCTTCCTTCCTTCCCTTCTCCCTCCATCTTCATTTCTTTCCTCTTGTCCCTTCCCCTTCCTTCCCTTTCATTTTTCCTCTTCCCTTCTCCTTCCTTCCTTTCTCCCTCCCTCCCTCCCTCCCTCCCTCCCTCCCATCCCCCTACCTATCTACCTTCCTCTCATTTCTTTCCTTCTCTCTTTTCAGGTATACGTTCCTTCCTTCTTCCCTCCCTCTCTATCCCTCTTCCAATCGCCTTCCCATCGTCTCCTCTCTTTTTGTGCTTAGGGAACACAAGGCTGAGGCAGCCCATTGTTAACAGATGAAGCAAAACCGCCCTTAAAAGTAGATTTTTCGATTAACGCCCTTTAAATACGTCATGGGAAGTAAAAAAAAAAAAAAAATGACCAAAAGGAAAAAAGGGAGCTTTCATATCAACCTAAGAGATATTTTGATATATCTATTTATTTAATATTGCTTTATCCACCCCGTTTATATGGCCACCAACCTGAACAAGGGATACTGGGAGGCTGGGGCTTGGTCAAACTTCGTCGCGACTATAAAACCAAAACCCTAGTAATCCTATTTCTTCCTGGCAGAACCTATTAAAAAAACAAGTTGAGACGCGGACAGCCGATGGTCGGCGAAGGATCACACCGCTCTGCATAGCTCAGCTGGACACAGGGTACTGTTTGCAAAATATTTTGGACTTTTGTCTTGTTTTGTTCCCAAAGTAGCAGTGGACAAAATGCTCTCAGCCCCTGGAAGAAGCAGGCCAGACCTAACCACTTTCAAAACGACCTCACCCCCTCCAGCTAGGATTGCAAAGAATTAACAAGATGTATCCAAATATCAGCTGTCCTTTTTTTTTTTTTTAAATCACAGTGTGATTCATAAGTCCTCAACTTGCGACCAGAATTGGGAGCGGAAGCTCTGTTGCTAAGCAAGACAGTTGTTCAGCGCATTGTGCCCAGTCGTATGATCTTTTCCGGTTAGGCAGATCACCGCGGTCACAAAGCGAAGCGTGCTATTGTTTAGCAAATCCGCCACTCTTGTTACCTGAATCCTCCTGATTTCCTAATGTAGTCATTAAGCAAACCCCGGCTTCCCCATGGATTTTGCTTGTCCGAAGCCAAACTGGAAAGGTCACCTATTGGCGATCACGTCACCCCACCCCACCCCCCGGGATGCAGCCCCGGTCATAAATGCATACCGGTTTCCCAAATATTTAAATGTTGATCATGTGACCTGGGGACGCTGCGGCGGTAGTTAGCGTGAGGCCTGGTCATAAAGTCACGGTTTTCTGTCGTTTTCTGTTCAGTCCTTGAACAAAGGCTTGTAAGTTGAAGATGACCTAGACAGGACCTATTTAAAATATTGGTCCTGGTCGGTCCGGTGGGGATAACATACCCCCATTTACCCCTGACGGCCTTTCTTTTTCCAACAGGGATTTTTCGACCGCCCTCTTTAACAGCATCCCACTCTCTGGGTCCTTAGCCGGGTCCATGATGTCCGCTTCCCAGACAAATCAGCTCATAGCGTTAGATTACAACACGGCCAACTCCCTGGGCACCGCTAAGCCTGCCTTAGAGCCCATGGCAGCGGCCGCTAAATCGGCGGAAGACGTAGCCAACAAGGATGGGTGAGCATCAAAAGAAAGGCCTTCTCCTTCTGACTCGGGTGAACCAAGGACCCGTTCACTGAAGCATGGGTTGGCGTAGTGAGGAGGACATCCCAAAGCTGCTGTTCCAGGAGGCAATTGGGCTTCTTTGTTTTTCTTTGAAGAGCTTTCTCTTCTCATCCCAGAAGCTTCTTCAGCTCTGACTGGAGGGTGGGGAATGGAAGGACTTATACTCCTTGCAGACCGCTGGTCATTTGTCTTCTTTTGGAGAGTCGTTGAGGCCACTTGGAGATTTGTCTGTGTCTTCAAAATCACCTGAGTGGTGTGAATGGGCGTGGAGCCTTCTTGGACCTGCTGAAAGGACTGTGTTGTAGACTAGAGATAAACCTCCAGGTGGCCTCAGCGACTCTCTAAAAGGATGCAAATGACCAGCTGTCTACGAGGAGTATAAATCCTTCCCTTCCCCACCCTCCAGTCAGAGCTGAAGAAGCTTCTGGGATGAGAAGCGAAACGTCTTCAAAGAAAAACAAGGAGGTCCAGTGGCCTCGTGAAAAAGCACCTTTGGGACAACCACGACCTGGATGATGGAGAATCTCGATAGACATTTAGTGAGGTGGAAGCTCTACCTGTGATGGCCTTCATCTTCAGAGACCTTACACTTAACGTATTTATTTTTCACATCTTTGAACCATCGATCTCCCTCAAAGAGAGATTCTGGGCGGTGAACATTAAAACACGAAAACGATATATAACTATTAATTAATTAATTAATTTTTTTTTTTAAAAAAAAAAAGGCAAGCACTGTTAAAATTAGCTAACTACCTCCAGGATTGCATGCTCCTCTGGACTCCCCACGCAAGGCCACAGAGCCACGTTTTGATTCCTTTTCATTAGGCCAGGAGTGGGGGGGCCTGCCTCACCTCGGGGGGGGGGAGAATATTCCACAGGGAGGGGGCAACAGCAGAGAAGGCACTCCACCCATCCAAGTCCTTTAACTGATGGCATCTACGGGATGCCTTCCCTGCCGAATCCGGTGGGACGGGCCGATGTAATGGGCTGAAGACCGTCCCACTGGTAGAGTGGTCCCACGCTGGGGGTTTAGGACAATTCGCTGCAGCCAGCTCGCTACGGCCAATTCACCCCTACCACAACTTGCCACAGCCCATTCACAACTACACAACTTGCCACGACCACTTGCTGCAGGACAGGAGTTGCGCTAATATCGAAGAAATGGAGTAAAACCATTAAAAGGAAGGAGGCGATAAGGAGGGATCAAACGAAAGGCGAGTGAGCAAAATTAAAATCGGGCTCAGTTATTGGAAAGAATTAAAATTGAATTGTTCCACAGCGAGTTGTCCTGTGGCAACTTGGCCGTGGCGAGTAGGCAGTATAGTGAGTTGGCCCTGGTGGGTTGTCCCATCCGGTTTGCTTGTTCCTAAGCTACCTAGACATGCAAGCGGAAATTCCACAGTTGGGTCAGCTTACATTTCCGAAGGACGTGGATACGGCTCGCCTGGTGCTTCTCTATCAGGCGTCCCCAAGGTTTAATGTAGTAGATGCCAAGCAAGCCCATCCCTCTGTGTGATCTGGATTTGTCCCGGTCCTGAACACTTCTCAAGATGTGCGGGCTTCAAGTCCCCGAATTCTGGCTGGGGCATTCTGGGAGTTGAAGTCCACAGATGTTTGTTGAAAACTACTGCTTTAGAAAATGAGCCCTTGCCCCCCAATTCGACCGGGTAAGGGGTTAAAAAACCACAACTGTTTGTGATGCTGTTTATTGCCGGTTGTGAACAGAGCGGACCCCTGCCAGATACGTGGGGTGCTTCAAATGTGTTTATTTTGTCTTTGCTTTCTCTTTTCCCAGTGTGAACGCTACCTCGGCTTCAGCTGCTCTCCCAGCCTCTTCGTCCTCGGTGCTGTCCGCTTCTTCTAAGATTGAGCCCATGAAGGCTTTTGATTCTCGGTTTACAGAGCGATCCAAAGCCACCTCAGGGACTTCCCCCGTCTCGCACGCCAATCAGGTTACCTTGGACAGGTGAGGCGCAGAAGCGGAAAAGAACCATTTCAGCTGGACACCGTATTGTAAGCAAAGGAGAAAGCATCGTGCTGGTCTCCTCTGCAGTCCAAAGGATGCTGGCTTAGGAGGAATAGGACGTCGACAGGGCTTCCAGCGTTGCACGTCACAAATTTAAATGCCCACTAGATGGCAGCAAAGAGACCCAGAAACTCTCGTTCTTTGGTGCCCTCTTGTGGTCAGCCAAATATTTACAATCTCGATCTGAAACCCTAATTTAATTGATTTGTATCTTGGCTTTATAATTTTTAGAACTAACTCAAGACTAGAGACATGTCCAATAACCCTGCTTCCTCCTACTTTCTCCACAACAGCCCTGTAAGGAGCATTGGGCTGAGAGTGACTGGCCCAAAGTCATGAAACCCAGCCAGCTTTCATGCTTAAAGTGGAACTAGAACTCGGAATCTTCCACGGGAGTCTTCAAACTTGGTCCTTTTATGACACGCTGGCTGAGGAATTCTGGGAGTTGAAGTCCACAAGTCGTAAAAGGACCACGTTGGTCTGCCATTTTCTCGCCTGGTTCCTTAAAAACTGGATCAAACTGGTTTTGTTTTGTTTTTCCTTTTTTTCTGCAGACTGAAGGAGCAGAACTCCGTTCGGGAAAGCAAACCCAGGGATCTCCTAGAAAGTAGCAGCGATAGCGAAGAAAAACTCGCCATCAAACCCTTGTCGCTGTCCAAGCGAAAGTTGGACCTTGAAGTTGAAAAGAAGAAGAAAGGCAGACCTCGGAAAGACTCCCGGCTGATGCCTGTCACTTTAACCGTTCAGGTAACCGAAGGCGCTCGTCATCTCTCTCCGATACACGACGACAGATCCCGCTTTTTTTTTTTATCCATTTTAGAAACCAGACTGTATGTTCTGAATCTAGCTGCAGGCAAATTAAGCAAATCATCCTGGTTTATTGCAAAGGAGCACGGAGGATGTTAGCTAGGGGAGTCATGAAACATTTGCAAGGAAACAGCCAAGCTCAATCCTTAGATCAGTGGTTCTCAATCTGTGGGTCGGGACCCCATTTGGGGTCGAACGACCATTTCACGAGGGTTGCCAAACAACGCAGTCCGCCATTTTTTTCCTCCTTTTCCTTAGCTGTGCTACTCCCTTTTATTCTATTGGCTTTTGAAAGCCCATAGAATAGACTCTCTTGAATAGAGTCTAATTCTATGGGCTTTCAAAAGCCAACAGGAATTGTCCAGGCTGTCTCTGCCCTGCTGAGCCTGCCAAAAGTCCCATTCTGCAAACGGTGCTGCACCAGTTGAGTAGTCCTCGACTTACGACAGGTTGAGTAGTCCTCGACTTACGACCGGTTGGGGGTTGCGGCATTAAAAAGGTTGAGAACCACTGGTCTAGACGCTATCGCTAGCTATTGCTATTAAGAACAAACAGTGACCTCTCTCTCTCTGTATATATCTCTACTTGATTTAATCGATTCCACTCTGATTTTTCTCACAAAACACACGTGCGTTTCAGCCTGGTTGGGCTATTTCAAACCCAGCTCAGATTCATCATGCAGAGTTCTTCTGAAGACCAGCTAGATCAGCACCCCCACCCCACCCCCAAGCTTTTGAGCACCAGGGACCGGTTCCGTGGAGGAAGGTTTTTTTCCCACGGACCGGAGAGAGTGCGTGGTTTTGTGTGCTGCCTGCATCCCACGGATGGGGCTTTGCTTGTTTGGGCGGACCGGTTGCTGGCATGCTGCGGCCCGGTATCGGTCCACGGATCGGGGGGTTGGGGACCCCCTGAGCTAGATTGCGTAATTTGATCAGCCCGCAGAATTTGTGCCGGAGTGGAGTTGAGAGGGGCCTAACTCCTTCTTGACATGCTTTGTTTTGTCTCCCAGTCTCCAGCTATATTAGCCTCCGAGAAGGATGGGGCTTGCCACAGTACACCCTTAGCACTTAAACTGCCGACCCCGGTGCTACAGAAGTCGTTTGCTTTACAGGTAAGAGGTGGACTGTATTTGTTATTAGGTTCTTGTCCCGCCCTTTTTCTACCTGACTAACCTGGAATCATACGCAGGGCCCCCAAATCTATCTAAATATCTATATTTCTTCTTAGCTACTCTATCTAGTTCAGCTTTATCTATCTTTATCTCTATCTCTATCTCTGTCGCTCTATTATCTATCTACCTATTTACCTATTTATCTACCTACCTACCTACCTACCTACCTACATCTATCTATCTATCTATCTATCTATCTATCTATCTATCTATCTATCTATCATCTCCAGTATATTCTCTCTCTCTCCAACTCCCTTCCTTCCTTCCTCCTTCCCTCCCTCCCTCCCTCTTATTCCCATCTTCCTTCCTTCCTTCCTTTCTTCCTTTCTTCCTTCCTTCCCTCTCTCACTCCCTTCCCTTCCTCTCATTCCCACCTTCCTTCCTCCCTTCCTTCCCTCCCTCCCTCCCCTTTCTCTCATTCCCATCTTCCTTCCTTCCTTCCTTCCTTCCTTCCTTCTCTCCCTCCCTCCCTCTCTCCCTCCCCTTCCTCTCATTCCCACCTTCCTCCCTCCCTCCTTTCTTTCTTTCTTTCTTTCTTTCTTTCTTTCTTTCTTTCTTTCTTTCTTTCTTTCTTTCTTTCTTTCTTTTTCTCTCTTCTTTCTTTCTTCTTTCTTTTTTCTTTCTCTTTCTTTCTTTCTTTCTTTCTTTCTTCCTTCCTTCCTTCCTTCCTTCCTTCCTTCCTTCCTTCCTTCCTTCCTTCCTTCCTTCCTTCCTTCTGTCGGTCTGCCTATCTCAAGGAGAGGAACATACCTGCCCTTTTAACTACACCCCAGATCAGGTTCTTCACAAACCTCCAGGTTTCTCCGTTGGCTTGCACTGGGACTGCTTAGGGGCTCAGATGAAACCTCTCTTGCAGGTGAGCTCCGATCCCTCGATGTATATCGAAGTGGAAAACGAGATCACAGCCGTGGGAGGGTCCAAGCTCAGCAGACTGAAATGCAACCGAGACGGGAAAGAGTGGGAGACGTTGCTCACCAGCCGAATTCTCTCCGCGGCGGGAAGCTGGTAAGCGTGGGGGTCTGGGTACGCGCAGTGAAGAGAGAACGTGCTAAAAACTTGATGCATTGGATTAAAAAGTGACCTTTCCCAAGGTGAGGCCTCTGTGTTGATCTGAGACTCCCAATTCACACAGTCTAATATTTGGGGATCAACCATCTGCCTTTTAGGCCTGTCTCGCTCGCCCCTGTAAGCCAGGGATCCAGAATCGTCCTTGCACGATTTTTCTATCCCGGATCCTTTTGAAGCTGGTTGGGTTTGTTCATATGCCTGGTTTAATCTTAATGTTGGTTTTTTATTTTGGTTTTGTTACTGTTTTGTAGGCTAATCAGCTTTGCTGGAAAGGTTAAGGAATTGTGCCTTTTTCTTTTTAGGTTTTTTTTTTTAAATCTCATCTTTTATTATTTTTATAAAAAACTTAAGATGGTGAACACACCTAATATTCCTTCCTGCTTCTATTTTTCCAAGCACAACAATCCCATAAGGTGGGTTGGGCTGAGGGTGAGAGGGACTGGCTCAAGGTCACCTCGCTGCCTTTCATCCCTGAGGTGGGATTAGAACTCACAGTCTCCTAATCATTGGCTGAAAGTTCCCCAGCCAGCTTTCATGCCTAAGATGGAACTAGGACTCCCAGTCTCCTGGTGATCGGTCTAAAGTCACCCAGCCGCTTTCATGCCCAAGGCCAGGACTAGAACTCACCGTCTCCAGATGATTGGCACAAAGTCACCCAGCCAGTTGTCATGCCTAAGATGGAACTAGATAGAACTCCCAGTCTCCTGGTGATTGGTCCATAGTCACCCAGCAGGCTTTCATGCCCAAGGCCAGGACTAGAACTCACCGTCTCCAGATGATTGGCACAGAGTCACCCAGCCAGCTTTCACACCTGAGATGGAACTAGAACTCCCAGTCTCCTGGTGATCGGTCCAAAGTCACTCAGCCAGTTTTCACGCCCAAGGTGGGACTAGAACTCACCGTCTCGGGATGAGGGGCAGAAAGACCTTCAGCTGGCTTTCACACCTAGAGTGGGACTAGAACTCCCGTCTCCCTCTTTCTAGCCTGATGTCTTCACCAAACGTCTATTTCTCTTGTGCTTTTCCCCCCCAGCGAGGTGGTGAGCGTGGCTTGTGAAAAGCGGACCCTCTCTGTGTTTTCGGCGTGTGGCCGTCGCCTCCTCCCTCCCATCGTCCTGCATTCCCCCATCTCCACGTTGCACTGTACAGGGTTTTACATCATGGCTCTCACCACAGCGGCCACCCTATCAGTCTGGTAAGCAGTGAACCTCTCTTTCCCTCCCCGACCGTCTTTTTTTCCATCTTCCTTTGCAAAGACGCGTCACGTGGAACGGAATGACCCTTTTGTTCTCCCACCTCTTTTTTCCCCTAGGAACGTGAGGAAGCAGACAGTGGTGGTGAAAGACGAGTCCCTACAAACCATTTTAGCAGGTAATGACAATCACCTGGGCCCATCAGAATCCTCTTTACAAATCACCCTGGACTTAACGTCTCTTTGTTTCGCGACGCTTTCCAAGTTTTCACAGCACAAAAAAAGGGACTTGCCATTGGCCCTTGCACTTATGACTCTCACAGGATCCCCGTGCTCTCACACAGTCCAATTTGGGGCGCTTGGCACGCGTTGACAACAGTTGCGGGTCCCAGAGCGATGGGATTCGCTGCACGACTCGTTTAACAACTGCAGTAAATTTGCTTAATAACCGTGGCCCAAGAGGTCATAAAATGGGGCTGACTTACTTAATCACCACCTCTTCCTTGCCAGCAGAAATTCTAGTCCCTGCAGTTATTTAAGTGAATAATACAGTCATTAAGCAAATCTGGCTTAATTGAGTGGTTGTCGGACATCGGCTGGAATGTTGACAAGTGATAATCACCTTATTCTGTCTCAGCCTACGTGAGTCCTTGTTAATGCTCACAAGGAGAAACCCCCCTTCCAACAAGCAAGCTGGAACCGCAGGAAAAAAGCAATTCCCTTTTATTATTCACAACCTGAGTCAATGTCCAAGGCAAACAAACACATTTCACAGAAACTCGATTCCTTAACACAAACAGTTGCCTTCAACAACCAGCACCTCCCACACGTTCCCTTTTATTATGCAGCCAAGGTGTGGCTTCCTAATGCCTTCTCCTTTGCCTTTGGAGCCGCCCCATTGCATTCCTCTGTCCTACTTGCTTCTCTTGCATCTGCGATTTGCCCCAGATGTTCTTCATCACTGTCCAACTCAGGCTCCCAGCACAGCTATGTCTCAGCCTGAGCGTGAGTAGAGGGGCCAGGCTCCTCGTCAGACTGTAAGTCTTGGAGCTCCTCAGAGTCTTCCTCTGACTCTTAATGTCACTCCAGGCCCCTCCTCCTCCTCAGATTCAGCTGCCTGGTCCACTAGCTGGTGAGAAATCACAACACACATGACCGAAGTTGTAAGTCTGAGGACACATGTAGGTCACTTTTTTTTCGCCATTGCCACTGTTAACTCCCAACGGTCACTAAATGAACAGCTGTAAGTCAAGGACTATCTGTCCTTCCCCCGTCAGCTGATGAGTCTCGCCCCACATTTCTGCTCCCAAGAAAACTGATGGGTACGTTTGACCTTTGCAGGAAGTGAAACCACCGTCTCTCAAATCTTGCTGACTCAGCATGGCATCCCCCTGATGAATATGTCGGACGGAAAAGCATATTGCTTTAATCCTTCTCTATCTTCCTGGTAAGTCTCAGAGTGGGAGATATAAGGAAGGCAATTCTTGAGCTAAGCAGGCTAGATCTGCAGCTAAGGCTTTCCGGAACAAACTCTTAAGTAAATACGGCAATCAGATGTGGTTTTATTTTGCTCCGTTCCTGTCCTGGGCGAAAGATCAGGTCCACCCATGAACTTCCAATTAAACTGATTTATTGTTACTCCTGTCTGTGCCCAGCAATCTTCCCGACTCATGCTTAGCACTAGAATGGAGAAATAAGAATTCAAGGGGAATGGGACTCGAACTAATGGTAGCTACGTAGGGATTCTAGGCTGGCGCCTTTCTTGACCCCACCACCCTCAGATTCTGCCATTCCTTGTCCTACAGTTTCTTGGGCTTGCTGTCAATTACAAGAATACAGGTTGTTTGTTTGTTTTTTAAACTGGAAACCTATTTTGCAGTTGGCCAGCCCATTTAAGTGGAAGTCTGGCTTTGCACGGCGGGATGATTCTTAAGCGGGAATCAAGGTTGGGCTGGATGGGAAATGAAAATGGGTTAAATTTCCAACTTGCAAGTGTTTAATTTTGCGAGAAGGCCTGCCCTCTCCCAACTTGGTTAACTGGAACGTGTTCTCTCTTTCCAGGAACCTTGTCTCTGACAAGCAGGAAATGTTGGCACAGTGCGCAGACTTCAGGAGCAGTCTACCATCCCAGGAGGCCATGCTGTGTTCAGGACCTTTAGCCATCATCCAAGGACGAATGTCTAAGTACGACCTTGTCTTGTCTCGCCCAACCTCTCCGCCTTTAGCCACCGGGCCATCGGAACAGGCCAAGCTCTTGATCACCCAAAGCTTGGTGACCCCTGCTTTGAACTCTGAACACAGCAGCCCCTGTTGGAACTGTGCGGATTTCCCCCCAAAAGCTCCTTCACGGTTTTCCCGTCAAACGCAGGGGAAATCAGGGGAGTCATGCAGTTTAAATGAGTACAGATAGTCCTCGACTTACGACAGTTCATTTAGCATCCATTCAAACTTACCAACAACACTGAAAAAAGTGACTTTAGGATCGTTTTGCACATTTAATGACGGTTGCGGCCTCCCCATGGTCACATGATCAAAATTCAAAATGCTTGGCCACCGATTCATATTTATGACGGTCGCCGTGTCCCAAGGACACGTGATTTCTCCCTTTGCAACCTTCTAACAAGCAAAGTCAACGGGGAAGCCAGGTTCACGTAACAACTGTGTGACTTGCTTAACAATTGCTACAGTTCGCTTAGCAAACAGTGGCAAGGAAAGTCGTAAAATGGGGCAAAACTCACGTAACAGATGCTTCACTTAGCAACCTAGATTTTGGGCTCAGTTGTGATCGTTAAGTCAAGGACTATCTTTAAAAAGGTTTTTTGCAAACTTAAGAATCTGGCCAATTAACAGTCAAGGGAAACGAGTGGGAGATAAGAAAGGCATTCAAGATGGGCTGGATTTAAATCTCTTGTGGGCACGCAGAGACTTGTGACTGATGACGCCTTTGACCACCCCTCCCTTGAGCTCAGCCTGGTCATCTCCTACACCTCCTTCTACTCTCAGCTCCTAAAAGCTGCTTCCTCTTTGCTCCTTCCCACAGCTCTGGGCGACAGGCAGCCAAATTGTTCTCCATGCCTCATTTGGTGCAGCAAGAAACCACCACAGCGTACCTGGAGAATCAGGTGGCGTCTGCCCTGGCTTTACAGTCAAGCCACGAATATCGTCACTGGCTGCTTATCTATGCACGGTACCTGGTTAAGGAAGGTAAGGAGCGATGCACTGGTGTGACGGTGTCAAAAGGTCTCGTCGCAGGATGTTCGCTGTCCTGAGCAAAGCTGCCTTTTGCAATTGACCGATGGGGATGTTGTCAATGCTGACGGTGTTCAAGTGGTGCTCCAGATGTTTGGGGATTCTTATTATTATGGTTGTTTATACAAAGATGTTCAGACTGGATTTGGCATTTTTATCTAAGCCTCGAGTCCTCCTAAGGACCTGGAATAGGCAGATGTTTTTAATAATGTCAGAGATGCCGTCGCAGGATGTGAGCTATTCCAAGTAAAGTGCCCTTCGGCAATTGACCGACGGAGATGTTGTCAGTGCCAACGTTATGGTTTGATACACAGTCATCCAGATGTTTTAGACTGGATTCGGCATTTTTGTCCACCTTTTGAGTCCTTCCTAAGGAACTGGGATAGGCAAATATTTGATGGTATCCTTGCAAGAGGTCAGCTGTTCCAAGTCAAGCTGCCTTTTGCTGTTGACTGATGGGATTCTTGTCAATGCTGATGGGGTTGATACAGTGTTCCCGATCTTACGATTACGGTTTGTTGCACAGCCAGATGCTTGGACTGGATTTGACATTTTTACCCACCAGCTACTGAGTCCTTCCAGAGTACTTAGAATAGGCCGATATTGTTGTTTGATTGGTATCGTTGCAGAATGTCAGCAGGTTCCAAGCAAAGCTGCCTTTTGCAATTGACTGATGGGGATGTTGTCAATGCCGACGATATTCAAACGGTGCTCCAGACATTTGGGGATTGCACCCCAGGCACCTGTTGTTACTAAATTAGTTGGAGGAGAGTATGGCCCGGTTTGTGACTCTTCTTATTTTACCGTCTTCCTTAGGCTTTGAATATCGCTTGAGGGAATTATGCAAGGATTTGTTAGGTCCTGTCCATTCTTCCTCTGGAAGTCAGTGGGAATCGACCGTCGTGGTAAGCATTGATTGTGGGGGTTTTTTTTTGGGGGGGGGGAACACATAAAATTATATTTCCCTCCCTAGCTCAGCTGCGGAACGGTTCAGCATCGGCTTGAATGCCGGCCATCTTCCAGCGTTCACTTTTCCAGCCACATCCAGGAGGGAACGTATGGCATGCAAATAATCCTCGACTTACCATCGCAATTAAGCAACCTTCCTGTTGCTAATTGAGACGTCTTAAGTGATTTTTTTTTTTGCCCTGTTTTACGACCTTTCTGGCTGCAGTTGCTGAGTGGATCGCTGCAGGGGTTAAAATTATAATATGGTTGCTAAGTGAATCTGGCTCCCCCCCCCAATTGGCTTTGCTTGTCAGAAGGTCTCAGAAGGGGATCACGTGACCCCAGGACACCGCGGCCGTCGTAAATATGAGTCTGTCGCCCAGCGGCTTAATTTTGATCATCCCTGGGGATACAGCAATGGCTGTAAGTGTGAAAAAGGATCCTAAGTTGCTCTTTTCAGCACCGTTGTGACTTGGAACGGTCGCTGAACAAACTGTTGTAAGTCGAGGACTACTTGTATGGTTCCATGCCTTGTGAACAGTGGAACAGCTTCTACTGTGGAAGTTTTTCTCCAGAGCCTTTTTCTACAGAAATAAGGTTGAAGCGGGGATTTTGCACCCTCTGCTTGATCTGTGGGGTCGTTTCCATGCAGACAAGTGAGCGGAAACAGCTCAGTGCAGTGGCTATCCTGCCTGTGAGATGCTTATTTGTGTAATTTTGTGTGTTTTGCGCAGGGCTTACGGAAACGGGATCTGCTCAAGGAACTGTTGCCCGTCATCGGGCAGAACCTTCGTTTCCAGCGACTTTTCACAGAATATCAGGAGCAGCTGGACCTTTTGAAAGACAAGTAGCCCCCTCCGAGACGTTTCTCCAGCCAATAGGAGAGCAGGGAAGAAACAGAGGGTCCCGTTGGCAGAAGCTAACCCTGCTGAAAAACGCGGGGCAGGAGCCAGGTCTGGGGGTCTTTTTAACAAGCCTAAAATGTTGTCGTTTTTAAAAGAAGGTCGCAAGAGGAACAGCGTGACAAGCTGGGGAAGTGACAGGATGCGTTCCTTGGTTTCTCTCCTGGAAGTTGAGCATCGCAGCTTACCGCTGTCGGGGCGTGAGAATGGTCTTCAAAGGGGACGGTTGGACTCCAGATCCGATGTCCCAGATATCAGAAAGACACATTTTGTGAGCCTTTTGAATATCCTTTGAGAAGCACATTACAAGAAGCTAAACTGAATGTCATACAGGCCCTCCTTTCAGAGGATTTTACTGAGGATTTAATCTATTGGGGCGATGGAAGGAGGAGCCACCCAAAGCAGAAAATCCTAAAAACTCCTCCAGAATTATGCAGCCCACAAACTCTTCAATTTGCGGACAACCATTAGAAGCGAGAGGCTGTTTGATCACACAAGGGACTATTTTTATACTAAAATTTGCTAACTTGTAATAGGAGAATTTTATCTGGCCAATAATCCCACCCCTTCCCCCCAAGTCCTCTTGTTATATCAAACGTAACTTCATTCATTATGACGGCTACGTTGCTGAACAATTGTACCAAAATAAATGTCTCTCTCTCTTTTTTTTTTTTAACTATTTGTAAAAGGTATTGGCAAAACGGGAAGGGGTAGGTAAAAATGGGATGGGATTTGGGGAGGGAAGATTATTTTTTTGTGTAAGTACAATTAATAAATGAACGTTGCGTTGATTTCAGAACAAACAACAAATGTCTCTGTGCTGCTTGTGGTGGCATTAAATGTACAAGGCCCCCCACCCCCCCTAAAAACAAATCTTGAATTCGGCCTTTGTTGTCGGCCGATGAGTCGTTTTTATTTATTTTGGCGGTGGGTCCTTGTGTATCACTGGTCCAAAGCAGTTTGCAAAGCAAGGGAGATAATCTCAAATTACGCCAATGAATGACCCATGACAGAATGAAGCAACATTCATGTAAACAGCCTTCCTGATGTTACATGTCTGATGTTCTCCAGAGTGTTACATGTACTGTATAAACTTGCTGGTTTTAAGTCTTTTTTTTTCTTCCTCATTTGCAACTGCATATTCTGTCCTGTAATAAAGATGTGTTTTTTATTATCATTTCCAAGGAATATTAGTTGGGCATTTCCAGACAGAATTTTCATCCTAGTTTTATTAGGAGGGATTCTTCTAAAAAGCCATGTAATGTCGTTTCAGAGGGGTAGATCAGATTTGACCAATGGAAAAAAGGACGGGGCAGACACATCTGTTTTAAAAGCTTATCTAAACGTTCCAAGGAAATATATTTAAAAATGTAGTATATTATAGTCCAGATTAAGACTGGAGAGACTCAGAGCAGAGTCCTCACTCCGCCATGAAATTCATGATCTATCTTGAATTGTTTCAGGGATGGAAATGCAACAGTGTCAAATGTTGTTGGGTGCAGAGACACTCATGATTAGATTTTCCAAAACAGGACTAGTACTGTATGCTACGTTGGCTTATAAAATTCTCCATGGGTGTAGGTGGATACATTGTTTGGTGGGATATTTATTGTCATCCATTCAGACTAGAAAATGCTGGTGGCTGGTAGAGGATGAAGTCAAAATTGGACAGGGCAGAGATTGGACTAAGTTTAATAGTTGAGATTTTTGATTTAAAAATGCTAGGTCCTTGCATTCAAGGGGGAAGCTATCTTCACTTGGTTTTGTGGAATTGGAAACATCTCATTTTATGCAAACAACGCCCTGAACCTGATTCATGTTTATTACTGGAAAAATAAAAACTAAAAATTGCCTCCCTTTCTGCCTATAGGAATGAGTATGGAACAAGTAAGTGCCACACTCTTAAGTTAAGCTTATGAATTTGTGCATGTCTGCATTATTTTTGACAGCAATAATGAAGCGGTTGGGGCAGATGCCTTAACTTCTCAATTTAACTTAGAGTCCCGGGCTTGTCTCAGAATTCACCAGTCAGCTGAAGAAAGACCCACCTTTATTGCTGGCGAAACTAAAAAATAAAATAAAAATCCATGCTGGTTAGGGAATTCTGGGAGTTTCAAAAATTGCCAAGGTTTGGTAATCTCTGCCACAAAGCGACCAAATAAGCGGAACCTTTAGAGGCAGCTTCCTGTTTCCTCCAGCGGGGGATTGTTTTACGCGGCGTACCGCGCTAAACCGGAAGCAGAGCCTCGGAGCGTCTTTTCCGGAAGTGGAGTTTTTCGGACAGACGTCGTCGTTCCTCGCCGGGTGATTTCGGACCGGAGCGGAGAAACAGGCCCCCGGCAGCCATGGGGAAGAGGCAGCACCAGAAGGACAAAATGTACGCGAAGCGGCTCTGAAGGGGTCGTGGGGCGCCTTGGGAGGTCTCCGGAAGTGGAGGGAGGGTGGCATCTCGGCCCAGCCTACCTGGCAGGGAGGTTGTTACGGGGAGGAAAAGGGTTCCTGGAGGGGTTTCAGTCCGGGCATTGGCTCTTATTTCTTTTCTTCCTTGGACTCTGTCCTGGCCGGCTGAAGGCGAGGGGGGAAGCCAAGGAATCATTCACTGCGGTAGATAAATAGATAGAACGAGATAAATATGATTGATTGATTGAGGTAAATATGATTGATTGATATGATAGATAGATAGATAGATAGATAGATAGATAGATACTGATATATAATAAAAAGATATGATTGATGGATATGATATAGATTATAGATAATAGAAAGAGATAAATTTGATAGATATGATAGATAATAGAAAGATATGATTGATAGATATGAAAGAAATATATAGATAAGATAGAGATTGATATGATTGATAGAGATGATATAGATAGATAATAGAAAGATAGACATAAATATGATAGATATGATTGATATATGATAGATATAGATATGATTGGTAGATATTGAGATATAGATGATTGATAGTAATAGATATTTGATAGATATGATATAGATATAGCTAGAAAGATAGAGATAAATATGATTGATAGATATGATAGATATAGGTAGGTAGGGAGATAGGTAGATAGATTGATAGATATGATAGATAATAGAAAGATATGATAGATATGATAGATAATAGATGATAGAAAGATATGATTGATAGATATGAAAGAAATATATAGATAATAGATAAGATAGAGATTGATATGATTGATAGAGATGATATAGACAGATATAATAGAAAGATAGAGATAAATATGATTGATAGATATGATTGGTAGATGATAGATATAGATATGATTGATAGATATTGAGATATAGATGATTGATAGAAATAGATATGATTGATAGATATGATATATAGCTAGAAAGATAGAGATAAATATGATTGATAAATATGATAGGTAGGTAGATAGATAGTTAACCCTCCTAAAGCATGACTTTTATGGTATATCCCATCATTCCCCTGTGTTACGTGATTTGGCTCCAGTTTTCCACCCTTCCTTCCCCTGCTTGCGCATACGCACCACAGACATGATGGTGATTAGTCTGCACTACTAGTTATGGCCATTTAACTTCAGACAGCATGGTTGCCATAGTGCAAGAGGCATGGAGTGCAGCGTTGAGGAAGACCATTCTGTCCCACACCCATCACGTTTGGGCTGCAATATTAGAGAGGACCGTTAGATCCGTTAGAGGACTAGATGACCTCCAAGGTCCCTTCCAACTTTACTATTATTATTATGGCAGTGAGGAAAACCAGAAATCTTTAACTGCTGCCCCCTGTTGGTTTACAGCCCAGGTAGGGTACATTCTAACCTGGCTCCATCCATTGGGTGTGAAAGGAACAGCTGTAGGGGATACGCTTCCCTCTAGCACAGTTTCTCAGATTTGGAAATTTTAAGAAATCTGAACTTCAGAGTTGAAGTACGCACATCTTAGTGGCCATGTTTGAGAGACACAGCCCTAGCAGAAAGGATACATACAAAGACTCTGTAATTTGAATCCAGTACCTCAATTCGCTTATCTGCCTTGCTTCTAGGTCCATAAGTCTAGGTACATCTTTCTCTTTCAGGTACATAACATGTACAGAATATACCCATTTTTATGGAGGGAAGACAGTTGGTATGTAACTACACCTGTTGAATTTTTGTCTCATTTGCATGTCTAATTTATATTTTGGGTCCCTCCTGGGGGTGGGTGGGTTGAAAGCAAGATGCTATGTCCCACATTTTATCCCAGTTGTAAGATAGGCTAAACTAAAATGGAGGTTGGCCAAAGTCACTTAATTACAATGTATTTATAGGGTATTCATGTGAAGATGAATATGCAGGATGTGTGAGGTATATTGATATAGATTTTTCTTTGAATAGAAATTCCACAGTCCAACTTTCGGCGCCTGCCTTTTGATCACTGTAGGTAAGTTTGAAAGAAATCATAAAGTCGTAAAAATCATAAATGTTGCTTCTTTCCTTCACGCTTTTATAGGGATCTTGAAAATTGCTTTTAGTTGGAATCAGTTTATATGGGTGGGTTTGGTCGTTCATCTATGTGTGTTGGCTTAACGTTATGCCAAATGGATTCACTGTGCTTTTTTATACTAAAATGGAATTCTTTTCCTCAATCCTAGCTTATCTTTGCAACCGTTTGAATATCCAGTTTGCACACCAGATGGGACCATTTTTGATTTGCTGTAAGTTATCTTTATTCCAGTTTCTCTTACATTTGTTTTCTTTTCTTTTAACAAAAAAAGTACTTAAAGGTAGAAACCAATGTCCAAGCAATTCTGACTCTACGCCTGTCTTGTTTTAGGAATATTGTTCCGTGGATAAAAAAATATGGAACCAATCCAATCACAGGGGAGGTAAGTATCGCTGGATTTTAAAATGTGGGTTTTAGACCACAGATATTAAATCTCAAAAAATAAGAGCTTTAAAAAGCAGGTGCAAAACCCCGTTTGGGATATGTATAAAGTAACAAATATGTCAGGTTTTTTTAGGATAAGCCAGATCAGGAAACAGACACCACAAGATCTACTGGAAATCTGTTATTGCAGAGTGTAATTACAGAATCTTAAAAGCTTGGCAGAAGTTCTCTTTTTCCCTCCTTATACTAAAGAGAATCAAATTGGGGCAATCTTGAGTTTCTTCCTTACTTCTTCCTGTCTTTTGGGGCTAAGTTGGTGTTTATCTTGTGGCTGCTGTAAGCTTTCTATATGAATGCTGTGTGTATTAAAAGTCTGACCTCTTTCTTACACCATTGATTCAAGAAACGGTGGGTAATGGAACGATAATGAGAGCAAAGGCCTGTTAGGTTTTAGAGGCTTATTCCCACATTGTGTTTGTTGTTCTTCCAATGAATAGTGTGCAGGGGGATCCACAGATCTATGTGTTAATAATAATAATAAAGTTGGAAAGGACCTTGGAGGTCATCTAGTCCAACCCTCTGCTCAGGCAGGAAACCCTATACCATTTCAGACAAATGGCTGTCCAGTCTCTCCTTAAAAACTTCCAGTGTTGGAGCATTCACTACTTCTGGAGGCAAGGAGTTCCACTGATTAATTGTTCTAACTGATAGGAAGTTTCTCCTTAGCTCCAGGTTGCTTCTCTGGGTCTGTGCTTGTAAAACACAAGTGTTGTTGTTATTGTTGTTTTTCCTTTCAACACAAGGGGGCAGTCGGATCATTTGGCCTGAGAAGTTTAGCCAGATCTCTGGATTTGCAGCAAATCCACTTCAGGGAAGAGTTGCAAAACGCCCGATTGAACCATTTAGGAATGGATCTAACCGCTCCTTCTGCTGGTTTATGCTCTCGTGTGGCCCTCCGGTGGCTTTCCTGTCTTCCCAGGCAGATCCCGGGATCCTTCTGAGGATTTTCTCGCGCTTTCCAAGCGCTAAGCCGGTGAATTTTAGCACACTGGCTTTCCCAGAGGTGTCACGCTGAGGCCAGCGCAGCCAACAATCTTGACAGCCAGAAATTCTGGGAAAGTGCCAGCTTGGGGAAGATAGCAGCGCAGCAGGGTCTCCCTAAACAATATTTTAACTTCTCTGCTTGATTGTCGTAACAGTCGAGGAGGAGGAGGATGGCTTCTCCTCCTCCATGCCTGACATCAGGACCCCTTTAAACTCTAACATAGGGGTCTTCAAACGTGGCGTGCCTGGCTGAGGAATTCTGGGAGTTGAAGTCCACCAGT